CTAGCTGCCTGCTCCAACTTTTTCACCGTTTCTAGAGGAGCTACTGTAATTGGACCTTCCTCAATAATCTATTAACATAAATGACTAAGATTAGTGATAACATCTATCAAAGATAATGCCAACTGTTATTCAATGACAAAAACCAAAAAATTAAATTAAAGAAGAAATAATTTCTCGTTGTTGTATACTTGTGAGATGTAACTAAGAAAGCATTTTAGTTGGAACAAGCAAAAGTTCCACAAATGTAAAATCAACATCAAAATGCTGAAGTTACCTTTTGGTGTCGCCTCTGGACACTGCAATCACGACTATGCAAAGCTGCAACATTTCCGTATTGATCACAAAGCAACTGCACTTCTAAATGTCGGCTCTACTTTCAAGAAACCAAATGTAAAGTGAGAATATGGTCACGTCCTAGAAACAAGCAATTCAAAGTATTTTTGTTAAGGGCAGAATGCAGTAGAGGATCATACCAGAGAAGCCAGCTTCATTATAAATACGGGTGAGCCAGGAACTTCACCCTGGACTTGCTTGAATAATGCCCTGACTTCTTCATCATTATGAACCTAGAAAGTTCAAACAGTAGCATACTTAATTTAAATCAGTAAAAAGATAAGGCAGCAAGATAATAGAACCAAGCTTCTCAACATGGGAAGCAACTTCCCCAATCTCATTTCAATCAATTATTGACATGGGTGATACTATTAAAATGGCAATATTGGCTATAAAACTAATTAATCAAAGAGGGAGATATTGCCAACATTCAGAGTATTGCACGAGTAATGTGTGAGGCAAACCTTTCTTATGCCTTTACCACCACCACCCCAAGATGCCTTTACCATTGCAGGGTAACCCACTACTTGACAGCTAGAAATTGCTTCTTCGGTAGTGTAAACACATGCTTTACGATAGGTATCATCTGGAATAGTAACCAAACAGCTTTTTGGAGGAATTTTCACCTAAAAACATGGAAGTTAAATGTATTGAATATTATATGAGCTCTGCAAGATTAAAAAATAAGCATAATTTACTAGCTGAAAAAATTTACATGAGAGCCACTCCAACGGAGAGTGGGAACTTCAGCTGCTTGAGCAATCAGTGATGAACCAATTTTATCCCCCAGTGCAGCCATAGAAGTAGCCGGCGGCCCAAGAAATATGATTCCCTTTGCAGTCAGTGCATCGGGCAATTCAGGGTTTTCGGAAGCATGACCCCAACCAGGCCAAACTGCATCAACATGTGTGATCTCTGCCATCTGGATTCCCAAGAATTAAAAATTTTATCGATGCCAAAACTTTATTCTCACCAAAGAAAGAACTTAAAATTTCAAACATGTAATGAGAATGAATGTGCACACCTCTACAATGAGCTGCACATTCGCATAGTTATTATTGTTAGTCCCACCAGGAACTTCTACAAACTGATCGGCAATTCTAATATGCTCAGCATTGATTCTCATGTCCTCTGGAGTAGCCATGGCCACCAACAATACTGCCTTCTCTGTACCAAATGTTTCATAAGCCCATGTCCTTATGCTACGTATAAACTTCACAGCTGCCATTCCGTTGTTCGCTACTAAGATACTGTGTATTGGCTTTTTCCCCCCAAGAGCATAACAGAACTCATTGACTTGGGATACTGCGGTTGAGGATCTTAATGGAATTGGGCCATTTGTGAATCCATTGCTAAGACGGCCAACACCGACCATGAGGGACCTCCTTTGGGCTTCCGACATACTGTACAGCCTGAAACCCAAGTAAATTCAATAGGGACTAGGATTGGATATTATTGATAAAGAATTAGTCTAGAGCTGAATTAATTGCTCAACACTCTTATGAAGCAGAGAACATAAGAAAAGTAAATCTAATGCTGAATTGGACTTTCTACGATCATCTTGTATGTCGAAAATAATGTAACTTTGTGAAGTAAAGAATTATGTTCTTACTATTTGATTCATTGCTCAAAAGACTTATGAAACAGAACAAGACATGAAAAGTTAAGAAATAATGTTATTACAATTCAAGTCATTGCTCAACAGTCTTAAAACACAAACAAACACCACTACAAACACGTGTATCATTCATTCTAAATTGGGTATTATAAAATCATCTTCTACGTCAAAAACAAGGTAACCATGTGAAGTAAAAACAACAAAAATAAACCAATCAAACAGAGCACTACTAAATGGCAATGCCCAAATCAAGCCAACAGAAAACTATTCACAACTGAAACTAAAAAGAGGAATTCAAAAGAATGAGCGAGAGAGAGAGAGAGAGAGAGAGAGCGGTGTAACTGACCCTGGAGAAGAACAAGCTCGAATCTTTAAAAATGATATCAAATTATTTCAATATTATTGGTCTCTTCTGAGCATTTGGGAATAAAAAAAAAACAAGAACCCAGAATCAAGAAGCCCTGAATGTGTCTAAAATGTTTGTGCAGAGGAAGAAAGAGAAGAGGGTGGTGGGGTGTGGGTTTGGTTCAGTTTTTGCTGGCGCAAGTATAAACGGAGGCTTTTAATTAGAGAGAGAGAAAGAGAGAGAGTGGTACCTGCCCTCTCCTCTAATTAGTTCTCCAGCTACCCACCTCTCTAACCCGTCCCTTTCTCTCTCCTTTTCAAGTCAATCAGTCCAAGAAACGGAAATCGTCGTTTTCACTTTCTTTCTCCCTCTCTACATTTCTTGATTGGTTTAAAAGTTTGTAAAAATGATCAACCTTTGATTGTTGTCACATGTGAGGTCAGAGGATATATTCTTGTTAAAAATTCTATAAAAATTGGTGATTTATCTCCGAGAATATCAGCGAATCAATTCTTTTTACCCATTACATTAACGATGTGTTTTGAAAAATTAATTAAAAGTTAACTTTTTAAATATCTTTTGAATTTTTTATTTTTTTTGAATAAAAAATATGATAAATAATATGACTTAAAATGAGTTAAAAATCAAAAACAGACTTTTAATCAGTTTCCCAAATGAGCCCAATATCAAGAGAATGTGTTTGAATTATAAATTTGAACAGATATTCAAAAAGATAAAGAGAAAAAATGAATAAAATATAAATTAAATGCAACTATATTTCACTGACAATTTATATATGTATATTTTTTCTCTTTTCAAAATTCATCCTAAATTAATGAATCAAACACACCGTAAGACTTCTTTTGGGAAATAACTTGTAAGTTACTTATTAACTTTTTAATTTATTTAAATTACTTTACCTTTTTCCTTTTTACACAATTTTTTATAATGAATAAAAAAATCAACTTATTTAACATTTTTTAAAACAATTCTAAGGCATATTTCGGCAAATTGGCTAAAAGTTAATTTTTTTTTAACTTTTTGACATTTTTAAATCATATCAATTTTTTACATTTTTTACACGTTTTTTCAAAAAATAAAAAAATAAAACTAAAAAATTAATTTTTAACAAACCTTCCAAAACAATCATAAGTCTTCTTATCCACCCCCAACTTGTTACTGAAAATTTATCCACTCATTAATTTCAAGATCAAGATTAGTTAAATCAAACATTTATTCATTTGATTTAGTTTTAGAACCATAATTTGAATGCGGAGTTGTGTTTTAAAAATAGAAAGTTTTTTAAATGAGTTTTGATAAGAGGTTATGAGAAAATAGTATTGAGTTATATTTTGAAATTGTTTTGGATTTTTTTTAAATATTTAAAAAATTTCTTAATTTTATTTTTTAGGATAAATATTTTTTTATTGTAAATATTTATTTATTTATTTATTTATTTTAAATATTTAAAAAATTTCTTAATTTTATTTTTTAGGATAAATATTTTTTTATTGTAAATATTTATTTATTTATTTATTTATATTAATGTGCCTTTTATTATTTATTTATTTATTTATTTATTTATTTATTTATTTATTTATTTATTTATTTATTTATTTATTTATTTATTTATTTATTTATTTATTTATTTATTTATTTATTTATTTATTTATTTATTTATTTATTTATTTATTTATTTATTTACTCCCATATATATAATATCATAACAAATTATTTGGCCAATATTTCAAAAAAATAAAAAATAAAATATATTTTAAAGAATAAAATAAAATAAAAAAATTTTTTTGAAATTTTTTCTTTTGTTTTAAAAATAGAATTTTGAGTTTTGAAAATAATTTTTAAAAAGAGTTTTGAATTGAGTGTTTGGTCATGAGTTTTGAAAAAATTTTGAATTTTTTTTTATTGAAATCATCATTTTAAAATTAAACAAAATGTTACCTTAGTTATTAAAAAATAAAAATTATTGCCCAGAAGTTGGATATTTTTATTTTTGGCTCTTTTAATAGGCCAAAATATTTGTGTTTAGAAAGATATAGTTTTTTTTTTTTAATTGGATGTGATTTTTATGAAAGTGAAATGATTATGAATTTAGTGTGATATTTTATATTATTGGTTATTTTAACATATTTTATCCTTTTTTATCTCCCCCCAAGCTAATCTTTGACTTCCCAAACACTGGCTTGCTCAATTATGGAAACGATAACAAATTTTATAAAAACAGCTCACAATGAATAAAAAAAATGGGCACTTATCAATAAGTCTTATACACAAAATTTTAAATTTATCTAATTTCAAAATAAAATACTTGTATCAATTAGTCTTACATATTTTTACCAAAAAATTGTTTTTTTTTAATAATTTTAAAAATGTTGCTACATCTAACGACTTTTGTCAGACTGACCGAAAATTCGCTGGAATATTCAATATCACCGGAAAGTAGCCGATGTATTACCGAAGTTCGCTGGAGTGTTTTGCGCATCGCCGAAAGTTCGACGGAGCGTTCTGAATGTCATTGGAAAATGTCAAAAACATCATCGAAGACTCACCGAAATATTTAGAATATTGCCCGAAAAAAAAAAAAATAAACGGAGAAATTATAGTTAAAAAACATAACGACAACACACAACAATGGGAAAAAGTATAAATTATTTTTCAATTTTTATAGTGTTTAAGCAAATAATCTGTAATATTGATCAAACTGAAAAGTAAGTTTTGAAACTGTAAAATGTTACAGTTTCAAAGCATTATTCTATTAAACTGGAAAAAACATGTTATGAAACTGCAAAATTTTATAATTCTAAAGAATGTTATGAAATTACAAAATTTTGTAATTTTAAAGCATGATTTATTTCAACACCAAAAAGCTGAAACTATAAAATTTTACAGTTTTCACCGCCTGTAACTAAAATTTAAAAATAATTTATTCAAAATTTGAAATTTTTCTCCATTAAAATAGAAAAAATAAATGTGTGTAATAGAAAAAAAAATAGAAATTGAGAAATCGAAAGAAAGAATAGATATAGAAAGAATATTGTACTCCGGCAATTATTTTTTGTTTAGATCTAGTCAGATCTCATATGAACCTACTCAGATCTGATGTAGTCTTTTTCGTCGTCAGTAAAGATGAAGTCACGAGTTGATGTCGATGGTTAGTGGTTGTCGATGAATCTCAATCAATGGTGGTCGTCGGTCACTGGTGACTATATATTAGAAAGAGAAAGAGAATAAGGAATGTGTGATCATCGGTCGTCAGACATGACAAAGAAAAAGAGAGGAAAGCGCCAAAAAAAAAAAAAAGAATAACATAAAAAATGAGACAAAAAAACAATGAGAGAGAAAAACATGTAGGACTTTTAAGTCTATTTAAAAAATTATTAAATTAAATAATATATACATATTTCATCCCGGACTCACGGGTAATTTCCTTTAAGAAAATGTTTCGTATCTCAAATTTTGGCCATTTGAGCCACTTTTGAACCACAAAATTTGAATTACGTAACATTGTCGTTTCCTTTAAAAAAAAAAAAATAACAACAACAACAACAACAAAAGCCCGACAAACAAACAATCAACTCAAACATTGACAGGAAATACTCTCTAAGCTTTTAAATAAAAATGTCAAAAATATATATTTTAAAATTCTTGTTTTTTGAGTTTGACTTTCTTTATTTATATGCACATGAAAAATATATGATTATTTTCATCACTTTACTAGGCTAGGATCGTAAGATAAAATTTTCATCACTTTACCAGGCTAGGATCATAAAATAAATCAAGCTACTCTATTTTTTTAGTATCTTGTGATTCGGGATTAGCAAATAAGTCAAATTTATATCTGCATAAATTACACTTTTTCACTCTCATAATTTGACATTGGTATTTGTACTTTCATTTTTAATAGTATAATCTATCTTTATATTAAGCCCAATTTCAATTTAATTTTTTTATCCAAATTATGGTTAAATTTTGCTACATATACTTCTCCTGTGAAGGTTGTTTGGGATAAATTATATAAGTGTATTTTTTGATTTTTTGACTAAAAAAATAGAGAAAAAAAAATATATATTTGAGATAATTTTTTACTTTTTACGAAAAAATGTGTATTAAAATATTGTATCAACTAACAAAATTGCTTTGATGCCCTTCTGAGCACTGTCTGTGCATCAGTGCACTGTGCGTCAGTCGCATCAGTGCACTGTGCTGCACTATTTTGAATTATTTTTTTCACCAAAAAGTACACTGTTGGAAGGGGAGTGTACCAATGGCATATATGTCTTTTTACCCTCTGTCTATTCAGACGTTTATTTCCCGCCCAAGCATGTGAATAGTATTAAATTTTTTTTTTGTGATTTTTTGACTTTTTTAGAGGATGCCAAACACCTACTAAGACTAGTAAGAAAATTATCAGTTTTAGTGTTTAATTTGGACCAAAACCATATTCAAGCTGAATTAAATTCTAAGGTTAACATTATTTAAATTGAAACATAAGAATCAAAGTAAAATTTAAAATAGACTACAGAGGTTAAAATGTATTACATATTTTTAAATTCGTTAATTTATTGAATCCGACTAGTACAACTAATATACATATAAAAAATTAAAATACATAATTACATTTTGATTGAATACATTTTAGAATTCGTTAAATTTTATAAAACATATTTAAACAATTTATTACTCAACATGTTTGGCTCAATTAAAAATCGATTCAGTATACTTTAAATTCATTAAATCTTTTGACATAAATTAAAGGCGTTGGCTTCTGTCTGGACCGTGCTGTTGGGCCCGTGGGGGCTCACCACGGGTCCCGTTTTGATAATTTGAACCGTTGAATGTGTAGAACTCGTCGAGTACTATAAGCTTGTAAAAAATTACGTTAATCAGATATCGGTAGCTATGTGATCAAATCAGATTTTTGTCAACCGTTAATTTATTCACCGTCCATTTTTTTTATACAAAACTGATTTGATCACATAGCTACCGATATCCGATTAACGTGATTTTTTATAAACTTATAGTACTCGACAAATTCTACACATTGAACGATTCAGATTATCAAAACGGGACCCGTGGCGGGTCTCCACGGGCCCAACAACACGGTCCAGTCCGATTAATGACTGGACAGAAGCCAAGCCCTAAATTAAAACACTCATTTAGAAACAGGATTTTTATTGATAAATCC